CTCCCTCCCGCTGTGGCGCTCCGGGCGAGGAGAAGCCGTTTGGTCTCTAATTTTTATTTTCTTTAATTTCCCACTTAAGCAGGGGGCTCCATCGTCGAGTCGTCGGCTTCCAGCAGCCTTCGCTGTCTCTCTTCCATAGTGGACAGTATCTCTTCGGATGAGCCCAAACTACCCAGCGTGGAGGAGGTGGTGGAGAAATAAATCCAGCCGCTCTGGTAGTATATTTCACGGAGATGGAAACCCCCTCCTCCCCCCATCTCCTCCACAGCCTAAATAACGAATTAAATTAATATAGCGGAAAGCCCAGGCAGGGGCCTTGCTAAGGTCGAGTCAAAGCACACTTTCCCCAACGAAAATGGCCCTCGCCGACTCAAACCATATAGACTTTGCCCTATTTCCCTATTCTTTTTTCTCTGGGTTTTGTTTTCTTTAAACTTCTTTGCATAGACCACTTTTTTTTTTTTAATACTTACTCGTGTACCGGTGATCCGCTTTGTCCAGCGCTCACCGAAAAGTTCATTCCTGCCTGAGTGAAGCTGTTGGTTGCATTTCGTGTTAGTCATATTTAAAGAGTTCCCGCCTCGTCTCTTTCTCTTTTTTTTTTCTGTAAATAATTTCTCTACTGTCGTTTCTCTTTTTTTTTCTTCCTTTTTTTTGTAAACATGACAAATATATATTTAAATGGTGGACTGTAATATTGTATATAAGAACAGACGGATTTCTCGGATTGTAAAATAAAGTTCTTTATGTTACAGAGTTTCTCCCCGCTTCCTCCCCTCCTCCCTTCGCAATTAAATCATAACCCGATCCTGGAAGCCAAAATCTGCGAGATGGAGCCGCGAAGACTCGGACCGCAGCCGAGGCACAAACTAGGAGCGTTTCTCCTTGCCTAGGGGCGCTCGGGCGGCGTTGTTGGCCCTGCCCCGGGGTGGCTTTGTTTACTTTGGGGTTTGTTTTGTTTTTGTTGTTTCTGCCCGTGGAAGCAGGGCGGGCGTTTGGGGGCTGCCGTTTCCTTGCAGCGCTCGGTGCACAGGCGCCTCGGAAGGGCTCCATCCTCGCTCCCGAAAATGTCCCTGTCCCTCCCGACTCATGCCCGGCTTTCTGTATTCTTCTTTGCGCCCGGGCCGCCGGCAAAAGCCGCAGGGAAAGCCCAGGCAGCCCCAGGAGCGTCTCGGCCTCCGGGTTTTCATTTATCGCCTTCCCCGTGGTGCGCTCAGCGCCTCTCGCCTCCTCCGCTGGGCGCCGGGCCCTGGAGCGCGGGCTCCGTATGCGGCGCAATTTATAGCCCCGCTGCGGGGTCGCCGCGGGCCGGAGGCCTCCAAGGTCACTCCCCGGGGCGCCCCGGGCGCTTCGGCTCGTAGCGCCAGGACGCGGCGGCCGCGGAGCTCCCGGCCGCGCACGCGGGGCCTCTGGCTTTGGCCCGTGTTCGCTCCGTGAGCGGCCCCAGTATCGCCCCCGGCAGCCGC